AAGTAAAGTATACCAAACGAATAATACTTCGAGCGTATCGCCGTGCAAAGTAATCTAAGTAAATAATACTTTATAAATACCGAATTAAACTTTAGCTAGCTCGATCTTCGAACTAAAATAACGACTTCTTAAATAATACTTATCGAGTATACCGAATAGCATACTCGACGGACACAAATCGAAAGAAGATCGCTTTTAAAGCAATAGCCTCGAAGCTTATATGCAAAAGCACTTGACTATTAACTTAGCGTATATCAAATACTTTTCGAAAAAGTACCGCAAAAGCATATAATCAATAGCTTAGCGTATAACGTGAACTCCGAATATATAGCTTCTCGTAAAAGAAGCAAGTTTAAAAAAGATATAAAAACCAACTTTTAATTCGATTCTTTGCGTAAATTATTAAATATATATAGAAAAGAAAAGCTTCGATATATACTTAACGTCAAATCAAAAGATATATATAAATATAGCTATAATAGAATCGTAAGTAAATAAAAAAAAAGAAAGAGAACGATCGAAGGACACTCGAATATATGCTGTAAGTACGTGTATTATATTATATAATAATATGTTACTAGTTTAAAGAAGAACCAACTACTCGTTTATATAAGAGCCTGCACGTAACTTAACTACGTGCTTAGCAGGGCTAGAGCATGCAGCGCACCCACGTGACAAAAGTGCTTAGCATCAGTACTATATACATGGACAAAACAAATACAGAGCCCCAACTCTACCACACTATCAAACTTAGCCCGACGCTAATAAGATTATTGCGTTCCGCAATAGTCTGAACTCAATTATACGGACTCGTTTAAATAGCTAATTGACTCTCTCAATTACGTATACCGAATACGTGCACGTCACTCAGCAGCTTGGACGCTCTTCCGGCCTTTCCGGCCCGTCCTACGGATTCTCTCGACTTTCGGCTCTTCCTCTTTAGAACCGCTCTCGCACGTCAACGGGCCTTCTTCCCGGCGACCTAATAGACTTTTTAACAGTCGACCGCGCTTAATAACTCGAGCAATTGCAATACGCTAACGAGCTCGGCGTTATAAAGCTTATCGACGCTCACGAAGCTGATCAAACTCAACTATTAAAAGACCGATACCCTATTCTTTAATATACTCTTCATAGCACTCTTAATTAACGCAAAGCTTAGCGCAAATCAAATCGCTATACCCGTTGCGGTGCAATCGACTATTAAATAGCTGGCTATACCTTCTTTCTAACTAAGCCTTTAATAAAAAAGCGAGTTCTTTAAGACCTTTTTTCGGACCGACCCGTCAAAAAAAATAAAAGTTTAAACGAGTTTGACTCGGACGAAAAAGAAGAAATTTTAACGGAATAGAACGCTTCTAGAAGCTACGACGCTAACCTTGACGATTATCGCGATCTATAGCTTTAGCGTATTTTTTTTGGTTTTTTTTTAGCAATTCTATTCGTAAACTATAGTTCACGATTAAATTTTTTTCCTTTTTTTATCAAGTACTTCTTAAGAAAGCTAAGACCGCTCTTTAAGAAGGTAGTATAACAGCCTACCTTATTATCTGCAGTCAGCTGATCATCTATCTAAGCCTAACGCTTGTAGCCATGTATATAGACCTTCTTGAGCTCCTCGAGCTTCTTGTTTTCCTCTCCTTACTTTATATTCTAAGGTCAAAATTCATCAGTTCGTCACATTAACGCTTTTACTTTCGTATATATAAACCTTAGCTACTTTCGACTTTTACACTCGATAATTATTGATTTTAAGTCATTACTTTAAGATTCTCTTAAGCTTTTATATAAACTTTCGCGCTCTTGTAAGTTCTTTTAAGTAATCGCTTAAAGTCGTCACATCTTAAAGTTTTAAATTAAAAAAATTAACCGACTTACTGTATTTAAAATCGATATAAATATATTAATAAATTATTTTAATATTTACATTTATAAATTATATTTATAATTAATCATATATATATTTTATTTAATATAATAACGATTTTAAAACTATTTATATAAACTTATTTATTAATTTATAATAATGAAATTCAAGAGGCTTTCGCAAGCTATCGAATTTATTACTTTCTTTTCTTGCGATACCTTTTTTTTATATATAAAAAGTCTTTTGCTCGTTAATAATACTAATTTTATAATATCCGTCGTTATGTTCGTTTTTTTTAATTTATTTAACAAATAGCTTAATTTTATAGCCGTTATTTAAAAATCGCTTAACTCGATATTCGTTTATTCTAATTAATTAGCCACGATTACGCTTTTCTTCGTCTAATATTTCTATTGTACACCGAGCGTTTCGACCGTTCGTTCGTTTAATAAAAAAAGAATAATAAGTTTCATTATCTATTTTAATAAAGATCGAGTTTAATTAGTTTGCAATCTTTAATAAATTAATAACTTGATTAATATATAAATAATAAAACGGCACTTATAAATAAATCGGCAAGCGTCTATTAAAATATGAATTTCTTTTATCTATTCTTTAATTATAATAGATATTCGAGCTTATAAATATAATTATAAGTTAATACGATTATAAAGTGTCTTATCGTTTTATATAATAAATTTTTAATTAAATGCTTTTATTTTTAATATTTATCAGATTATATTAATTTTATTTACCGCATAACAGCAACCGAAAAGAAAGCTGCAAAGATTATATTTAAATTAAGATTTCTATAAGCACTTTATCTTCATATATTAATTAAACCTTAATAAATTTAAGTAAGTACTTATTATAACGACTTTAAGCGATTATTTAAAGAATTTATAAAAAAGCGAAAAGATTATATAAAGCTTAAAAAGATTATAAAATCATTATTTGAATTTGAAATTAATAATTATCGAAAGTAAAAGTTGAAAAAAATTAAGTATTAGATTCTTTTTAAGCGATTAAAGAATATATTCGTAACTTCGTAACGGTCGTTAAAGTACTTATAATTGCAAAACACTCGGTTGTAAAAGTATTTAAATTCTAATTGCTTTTTAAAATTTAAAAGAGCTGATTTCTTTTATATGATTAAAAAGAATCACGCGTATTAGCTAACTAATAAGTTTACTAATTAAGTTAAAAGTCTTTTGACTAGTATAATATGCTAAGCGAAGCATATTAAGTAGCCCGTGAACTCTCTTAAATACTATTAACTAGCTAAAGTCGATATAAATATACCGATATTAAAGTTTATATATAAAAAGGTTGTTCGTAATAGTCAACCT